TGTAATATTAGTTGGGCCCAAAAGAAGACGTGCATTTAGAGAGGTGTTGCATTTAGAGGGGGTGCATTTAGGGGGGTTTGACTGTATTAATTTTATATTAATATTTATATTAAAAATAATTATTATATTGCTAATATTAATTTTATATTAATATAAATATATATTTTAACTTGGAATCATACTGTAATCGCTAGAACTACCATTAAATCTAATATTGCAAATTACTACAGCACCTAATATTATTATTGCCAAACTTAATACCATATAGATTCACAATAGAAAAGTTTTTATTTTAAAAATTTGAATATATTTATACAATATTGAATAGACCAACTTAAATCCTTTAACTACAATATACTAAAGTTACAAAAATCTTGATAATATATACGGGACTATCAGCATAACACCAAACAACCGCCATAAAAGTTAATATTGCTAAAACTACTGTCATACAACTACAGTCAGACCTCTATATAGTCACATTTTTATAATTACACCTCTATATAAGCACTTAATTTTTTTAAATAAACTACTATAAATATATAGAAAAAACTCTATATAAGCACAATCTCTTTATAAGCACATTTTTTAAAAAAGTTCTTATGCTCCCAACTAGGTGATTATATAGAGGGCTGACTGTAGTTACTAGTAAAAAAGTTATATTAGTAAACAAAAATTTTTATATCATTTAAAAGTTATTTACATTTAGAATGCTTAAATATAAAATTAATTTTTTTTATATAGTTATTTATACTTGCTAATAATATACAATATTATTATTTACCTTAGTGAAAAATTTCGGATACTGTATTTGTTTATTTAAAAGACCTTTGAGACACTATTGCAAGCAGAAAAAAATTATGTCGTAATATTGGCATATTGCGAAGAAAATAGTTGGGTAATCAGTGTTGGGCTCTGGACCAAAAGTCCGCTCTACTGGACTTATAAACTGGACTATTGGACTTATAAACTGGACTACTGGACCTATAAGTCCAGTTCCAGTTCAATTTTACTGGACTTATAAGCGAGCCCAACACTGTGGGTAATAGTTAGAAAACTAATAAATGTTAGAATTTGCATTTACAATGTGCGTTATAAAGAAATAACAAATTATTTATACAAATTGTATGTGTAAACAGAAAATTCGACTGTTACTATTATTAATATCAGTAAATATTGTACTTAAAAGCTTTTTGTGTTTATTTTATTTGTTCAACTATTGTTAATTCATTACTGTTACAAGATCATCTAAAAGTATTTTTAGAGGCATAGATTTTAGTACTTTTGATCAGTGTTGGACAATGATGTCGTATGACTCATATGACTTATATGAATTGTCATGTCACAATATCATATGATATGTCATATAATAATAATATGACATGATTTATATCATATGGCATATAAATTATATGATTCTATACTGTATCATGCAAACATATCATGTGACATTATGATATTGTCATTTGCCAACACTGCTTTTGATAGTTATCATATTGATTTTAATAAATTAAATTGAATTTTTTAGTATTTCGATCTTTAATTTGACTAATTCGGATAGATCCGACAAATCTGGTTAGCATATTATAGTTTACGGCTGTCTTCATAAATTCTGAAATAGCTAAAAATTTTCCAATAATTTAAGCACACTTATATTTGCGTCAGAGATGAAAGATAGATTTCAAAATTCTTTTACGAAAGTATTATATTAGTTAGTCGTTATGTATATCGATTTCTAAATTTTAAGTTACTATCATTTTATTCGAAAAAAAAATTAAAAAAATATAAAATAACATTAAGAAATAATATATACGTAACACGATTAACAACTATCACCGTTAGGGATCTGCTAGTCTGGCCTAATACCCTAATACACACCCCCACGTACAATAAATTAACATCACGAGTTTACGGTACATACACGCCATTATACTGTAGGTGGCAGTTAACCTTACACTACGTGATTTATCACTAAGTTCCTGATATTAACTAGTGATGTGCTCATGCGCATGGGAATATTTCGGAATATTCGGAATATTTCGGAATCTCATAATTCTGGCCCGCACTAGCAGCAGCTACCATAATGCAGACCAAAATTCCATGCGCATGATACTAATTTGCCCATTATTAGTATTAACTTTATAGTAAAATTAAATTTATACGAGAAAAATTGTCTTTATAACTTTTTATCAATTTACCCAAGATATTTTTAGACTGCCATTTATTAGATTTTGTAAATTTCGCATTTTTTGCTTCGTTGAGGTTTATCAAATTTCTATAATATGATTGGTGCGATGTCATATGGATCTACGCCGCTTTAGACGACACCTTTTATAGACAGTGCCAAATAAATGGCGTAAGTTACTATATGTGTACAGACAAAAGAAATGTCTTTAAAAAAACATGGTTCTATTGATGCCTGGTGTCAAATTGCACATCCTAATTTTATCAAAGGAGTTCCAGAAGTATCACGTCTTATGATACAATCAAAAACACCTCAAGAGTATTTAGAAAAGGGACTCACACCTGAACAGACAATTGAATTAATGGATGAAACCGGAATTGAAAAATTGTGTTTAAACGCCTGGTACAGACCTGGAAAAGTAATAATTTCTAATGATATGATCAGTGAATGGGTACAAAAATATCCAGATAGGTTCATTGGAATTGCAGGAGTTAATTTATTAGATCCTTTTGAAGCCGTTAAAGAATTGGAAAGAGCTGTTAATGTACTTGGTTTTAAAGGGCTTCGAGTTATTCCATGGCTTTATAATCTTCCACCAAATGACAAGCATTATTATCCTCTTTATGTAAAATGTATTGAATTAGATATTCCATTTTTTACGCAAGTTGGACACACAGGACCATTATGTCCATCAGAAACAGGAAGACCAATTCCTTATATTGATGAAATCGCACTTACATTTCCTCAATTAAAAATTGTTGGAGGGCATATTGGTTATCCTTGGACAAATGAAATGATTAGTGTTTGTTGGAAGCATCCTAATGTATACATCGATACTTCGGCATACCTTCCTCGTTATTATCCGTAAGAACTTATTCATTATATGAGTACATATGGTCAAGACAAAGTTTGTTATGGTACAAATTTTCCTCAACTTGGTTGGAAAAATACAATGAAACAAGTAAATGAATTAGGATTAAGTGATAAAGTTAAAGACAAATTTATGTATAAAAATATGGCAAAACTGCTTAAATTAGAAATAAAGGCAAAATTATAAAATTATTTATTTTTTAAAAATAATACATGTATATGCACAAATTATAATTATATAATCATATATATAATTATATAATTATATAATCATATATATAATTATATAATTATATAATCATATATATAATTATATAATTATATAATTAGAATACTTAATAAATGTCGGGGATGATGCTGAAACGTGGGGGTCTCAATTTAGAAATATAAACCCTACTAAAATCCACTTATACTTTTTTATTATAAACACTAGCCCTAAACCCTAACTTAACTACAAAAAAAAAAGCTAAAAAAACATCCCTCAAAAATTTTAAAATTTCATATTAAAATAAGTCAATGTTTCAGCATCATCCCCGACAATAAATATTTAGTAAAACGTGGATCTTTTACGCAAATCATAAAATTAAAGTGACAATAAATTTTATTATAGGAAATTAAAGAATCGATACGTATAAATTTTCAAAATTAAATAATTAAGGAAGTTAGAGTAGTGTTTATAAAAAGAGTATTTTTTAAAATTTTTAATTTTTCCGAACTAATGTTATTATAACAAAGATTTAAAGTGGCTAAAGTAGTATTTTTATAAAGAGCTTTCGCCAACGCTTTTCCCTCTTCAAAACCAAGTTGATTAAAATAAAGACTTAAAGAAGTTAAAGTAGTATTCGAATAAAGAGCTTCTGCCAATGCCTTACCACCTTCAGAACCGAGTTGATTACAAGAAAGATTTAAAAAAGTTAAAGAAGAATTCACACTAAGAGCCCCAGCCAATACTTTACCACCTTTAAAACCAAGTCGATTATTATCAAGATGTAAAGAAGTTAGAGTATTATTTATACTAAGAGCTTCAGCCAAAGCTTTCCCACCTTCAAAACCAATATTATTACCACTAAGATTTAAAGAAGTCAAAGTAGAATTTTTACATAAAAGTTCAGCCAGTGCTTTACCGCCTTCGGGACCAAGTAGATTAAAAGCAAAATTTAAAGAAGTTAAAGTATTATTTTTACAAAGAGCTCTTGAAATTGCTTTCCCACCCTCAATACCAAGTTGATTATAATAAAGATTTAAAGAAATTAAAGTATTATTCACATAAAGAGCTTCTGATAAAGCCTTTCCACCTTCAGCACCGAGTTGATTATAATAAAGATTTAAAGAAGTTAAAGTAGTATTCACAGAAAGAGCTTCAGCCAATGCTTTTCCACCATCCGAACCAATTTTATTATCACTAAGATCCAAAGAAGCTAGAGTAGCATTTTTACAAAGAGCTTTTGCCAATGCTTTACCACCTTCAGGACCAAGTTGATTATGACCAATATTCAAAGAAGTTAAAGTAGTATTTTTACTAAGAGCTCTTGCTAACGCCTTTCCACCTTCAGTACCAAGTAGATTATAACGGAGATCTAAATGAGTTATAGAAGTACTTTTGCAAAGAGCACCAGCTAATAATTTTCCACCGTTAGGACCAAGTTGATCATCATTAAGATTTAAAGAAATGATAGTATTATTTCTATAAAGAATATCTATTAATAAACCGGATATATTATCATAAATAATTCTATCAATACTTAAATGTTTAAGTCTTTTACTTGTTCGTAAAAACATGGAAATTAAAGAAATTTTAATGGCATCAATAATTTCTTCACATTTTTTAGAATAAGATAAAGAATCACGAGAACCTTGAACTCTATAGCCCTTGTAAATAAGCCAATTTTCTATTCCTTTGTTCAAATAACAACAATAAACGGAAGAAACATAACTTGTATATTTAAATAATGGGTTTGAATTATTTGGTAAAATTATTTTAAAAGGAATTAAACGAGCTTGTTCTTCAAGATTTAAAGATAAAAGACAAACTCTTATAAATCTTTTATCATAAATAGAAGGTTCGCACCATAATATTGGAACAACGATTCTACACCATTGACGGTTTACGAGAAGACATGAAAATAAACTTTTACGATAAGTTCGAAGATAATTAAAAATTTCGAAAAGGCATTCGTTTGGTAATGCTAACATTTTAAAAGGGAGAAAGAAATTTAGTAAGTCTGTACTTACATGAGTACATAACATACAAACAGATGTTTATCGTTAATATATAATCAGTGATGTTGCTGTATTGTGTATAAGTAAAATGTTGTGAAACGTTATATAATTTACAGAATCACAGGGTTTAAACTTGTATATAAATCATGTGAAAGAATAATAACGAATCATATTCATTACTATCAATTATTATCAATGCTATCAATAACAGGTGTTACGGGGGTTAATAACAGATAAGGGGTAATTGACGTGTAAGTTAGCACCTTTATTTGGTATAACGATTTTGAATCTAAAATATTTAACGTTAATTTTAAAAGCCTCCTTACCATTTATACACAAATTTAGGTTCACTACATAGATTACCGTTACTGATTGCGATCGTCTAAATTAAAATCTACCAAATGCAGGACATCCATATATTTTCTATCATTCATACTTAATGTTTTGGACCTATAAATAGAATAGTTTTGTACGTTATTTGGATGTAGTTTAATCGTTAATTTGGTTTCGAGCATAAATATGCACACGATACTCAAATATGATACCTAAATATTATACTCAAATATTATACTCAAATATCATACTCAAATATTATACTCAAATATTATACTCAAATTTGATACTCAAATATCAAATATGATACTCAAATATTATGTTAGACAATAAACTTAATAACGAGATAATGTTGAGATTTTTAATGACTAGTTATTAAATCTTAAAATGACCGCATTAAGCATGAGCACGAAAGTAAATTTAAAAATTTTTGTTTTATAATTATATAAACATGCACCATTTATTTAAATAAAGATTATTAATAAAAAAATTTTATTTTAAGTTACCATTTGTATGATCTAATTAATTATTAATTTATGACAAATTAACACAAAAAAAACTGCCTAAGCCAATTACTCCATTGTTATTTTGAGTATATGCGCGTTATTTCAAAGTACGCACATGTACATTGTGACATTTATGCAGTTAAATTATTTTGTTTTGACCGATATGTATGGAGTGTGCGTTATTAGGGGCACGCATTGGCTATTTTTAGGGAGCATGGTTTCTAAATAAGGCCTGTACGCATTATTTGACGAAAATATAATTTTATTTATACCCACTTTTATGGTATTTCACATCCTTAATGTTAGATTACAAGTATGTCAAATCCTGTCAGATCTTTGTTGTTTATTTTATCCTGTCACCCCGGTACATAATTTACAAACTAAATCGTGGCTTATTATGTCACCAAGAAAATATTTATTTATTTAATTTTCTAGAATTACTTCGAGACATTTCAAGAATATGATACTTTAATATACCAATATTTCAGAAATTTTGCAGAAAATAAAATTTACATTAAACAACTATACGGTACATATGAAAGTATAATGAAATATCACGAAATATCCGACATAATTTGTTTACATAGAATGTAGCCAGTAATTATGAAGCGACACATTACTGTCATGTAAATCGATACTATTTACTATAAAAAAAATGACTCGAATATGACTAAAAAACTAGCGGTTTCACGACCTCAAAGCTTATAGTAACTACCTTCTTATAATGATAGAATTATACGAGTGAAAACTAGGAAATTTAAATATAGAATAATATTTCATAGTAATCTATATTTAGACTTTTTTGATTTTTACTAGTGATACACGTATCCGACTATAACACTAAATACATATATGCAATACATATGCCATAAAATGCATATGTGCTACTGGGATGATCATAATTTCACGAGATTGCTATCATTACTCTCTAAGCTATTCATCGAGAGCTAAGTAATTCACCACTACGATCCGGCGGGCAACCAGTATAACTAGCATTAAAATATTTTAAACTCTCCGAAAGGCCTCAGGCCTTTCCCCATTATTGTCACACATGTAATTAAAAACATTTCGAATATTTCTTGCTGCATTAACATTCCGATTCCACAAAGCTAAACAGGCTTTTTGACAAACTTTTAATACATAAACTTGTTGTGATTTATTGAACCAACTTCCACATTTCAAATTTGTAAAGTACAAATAAATAAGAAAAGCAAATTAATAAAAGAAATGATTTGCATACACCTTGATGTACATGATATTACAAAAACCGAAGTACAGTGAGCAACAATTCATCATTAATAAAAACAAATTTAAAACCTTCTTGAAATGTTCGGAATTCAGAAACTTGTTTTGTACCGCAGCGCCTCTTCAATTCCTTGTAAACTTGTTTTACAAGACCTGGCGCATGTCCTCATGAAAAGAATGAAATACTACCTGCACCAAAAAAATAAATACAGTCAGACCTCTATATAATCACAAGTCCGTCGCGCCTTAATGTGGTGATTGTATAGAGGTGTGACTATAAACAAATATTAGATTAATATCATATGATCTTCAGCCAATCAATGATTAATTGGTAATTCATTAATCATGATTGTCCTATATATAAAAGTTTTTTTTTGTACTAAGTTAACCACCTTTGAGCTCTAAGTTAAGTTGTAGAGCACATTAAAATGAATCTAATGGTGTAAAATCATCAAAATCGGCCCAGTGGGTGCTGAGATATCTTCGAAAATCCTTTTGCCAACTATAGAAAAATTTTTTGTATTGTTTTACAAAGAATTTTATATAGTCAGCAGGCTGATTTTGATCTTAATGAGCTCTACAACTTTACTTAAAAACTCAAAGGTGGTTAACTTAATACAAAAAACTTTTAATTAATAGATTAGTAATTATAAAGAGGTTTTTTTATTAATAAATTTGATTTAAAAATTAAATTTAAAGATGATAAAAATTATAAGTGATTTGTGACTATAATGAGGATCTTTTAAGTCCATCACACAAAATATGGTGCTTAAATAGAGATGTGACTATATGGGATGTGATTATAGAGAGGTCTAACTATATTGTATTATTATAAATATTCTTTTTATATCCAATTATTTTTCAACATAAGATAAACAGCTTA